GATAATGCAGCAAATAATCCTGGAATTCATTTATAGGCACTCCAAGAACAAGCAGGTGACTAGGATTGAAATCCGCATGGACTTACAAAGGAGAAGCCATGCCTGACCAACATCTTCTACACACCCTTCTACAAGACAAATGGTTCAGTTAATGAGGGAAGTAGGGGATGTTGCTTATTTTGAAAATACCAAGACTTTTGACATTGTGTTTCACAGAATCCTCCTAAATAAAATTATGGTCTAATAAATAAATGTATAATAAAGAGACAATAGATACAGAGTAAAAAATAGCTGAAATGAGATGGTCACAAGAAAGGTAACTAGCAGCATGAAGCCAAGCTGAAGATCAGCCACTAGTGATGTACCCTAGGAGCTGATTCTTGGGCCATTACTGTTTTAGTTCTTCATTAGTGACCCTCAAGAAATTTGCAGATAGTAAAAACCTGGGATATGTTTGATGGTTGATACACCAGACAGTTGTCCTACCATTCAGATATACCTCTACAGGGTGGAGAAATGGGTTGACAGGAACCTCATGAAATTCAAGGGTGAGTGCCAGGAGGGTGGGGCCAGACTCTTTTCAGTGGTGCCCAGCGACAGGACAAGGGGCAATGGGCACAAACTGAAGCATAGGAAGTTCCGTCTGAACACGAGGAAGAACTTCTTCACTGTGAGGGTGACGGAGCACTGGAACAGGTTGCCCAGGGAGGTTGTGGAGTCTCCTTCTCTGGAGATATTTAAGACCCGCCTGGACGCGGTCCTTTGCAGCTTGCTGTAGGTGACCCTGCTTTGGCAGGGGTGTTGGACTAGATGATTCACAGAGGTCCCTTCCAACCCCTACTATTCTGTGATTCTGTGATTCTGTGATTCAACAAAGGCAATCAAAAGTCCTGCACCTGCACAGTACAGACTAGGGGCCAGCAAGCAGGAAAGCAGCTTGTCAATAAAAGGCTTGAACATGAGCCAAGCTAGCACAAGCCTTTGACACAAAGAAGATCAGCAGCCTCCTAGGCTTCAGTAAAAGTGTTACCAGCAGGCTGAGAGACGTGATCCTTCCCCTCCGCTCAGCACTGCTGAGACATCAGTGGCATTCTGTGTCCAGTGCTGTGGTCCCCAGTACAAGAAAAACATGGACATACTCAAGCAAATCTAGTGAAGGGACAAAAAGACAATAAAGGGATTGGAGAAACTTATATAAAAGGAGAGGCTGAGTGAGCTGGGACTGCTTAGCCTGAAGAGGAGAAAGGCTCAGGGGGATTTTATAAGTGTGTATAAATAGCCGATGGGAGAGAATGAAGAAGAGTGTCACGTTAAAGGGGGGGTAAGGGGAGTATGATAAGCGGCAAAAGGAGTGCCCTCCTGTTGAGTCATGAGGTTCAGAGCAGACGCCCTTGCTTTCTAAACTCTCTCTCAGAGAAGAGTCTAGGTGTGGCTGGATCAACTCCTAGTCCCAGACTTGGTCAACGGTTTATGTCTAAAGGGTTAAGTGTGTAGCCACTGATTAGATACAACTTGCCTGCCAGAACCCTTCCAAGGACTTTCACTGAAACAGTTTCGCAAAGTTGAAACAATAGGTAATTTATTCAAGTGACAAGTATCACAGATTCGGAATTGCCGTTGATAAATGCACTGTCTACAAAAGTTGAGCTCAAAGTAATAGTTCAGCGCTTTACTTAACAATGTGTTCCCGGGGGTACGTCTGACAAAGTCAGAGGCGCGACTCTTGCCAAAAAGGCATCCCTTCTTGGGGGGGGAAGAGAGGTTCAGGCCCGTCGACCCATTCGTCAGGTGAAGTTCTCGCTTGGCTCCTCCTCCCAAAGAGAGTTTTCAAGTGTCAGTTTTTATATGTTTGGAAATCTTTTTGCGAGGTGGGACTAAGTCAATTATTGTGTATCGATTGGCTCTTGGCATGGAATGTCGTGTTGTCAGAAGCGGGACTCAGCAGTGTGACACGCCTTCGGAGCGGGCATCTTGGTATGTGTATCCCAGGGCCATCTGTGCTTTATCCAAAGCAATCTCTGAAGTAATCTCTGGCTGTGCAGCCTCTTCGACATCCCACAGATCACTGGGTTTACAGTGATGGGCTATACCTCCTTACTTTTGTCTGATAAAATAAACAGCAGTTAGTTACTTAGCTCTTTGTCTCTTGACACCTCAGTCGAGAGATGCCTCAGTCCAAGTTTGTGAGTTTGTCTTTCGTCTTGCATTTGACAAGTCCAGCAAGGCCATCAATTACAAAGAGACAACCACACCCTACTCAGTAGTGCCCAGTGACAGGACAAGAAGCAACTGAAACAGAATGAAACAGAAGAAATTCCGCTTAGAGGTAAGGACCAAATTTGTACACTGTGGATGGACAAATCCTGAAACAGATTGCCCAGAGATGTTGTGGAATATCGCTTTTTGGAGATATTCAAAACACAACTGGACAAAGACCTGAGTAACCTACTCTAGTTGATGCTGCTTTGAGCAGGGAAGTTGTATAAGATAATTTCCAGAGACACCTCCCAACCTCCAAAATTCTGTAATTTTATGAAAATTCATATGAAATGTTTTACTTTGTTGTCCTTTTGTATTTTATGCAATTCCATTACTTCTTTTGAAATTAAGATTATCCGAAATAGCCCCACAGTGGTAATTCATTCAACCTGCCAAGCAAGTATATTCCAAATTCAGGAGCATTAAAAACTGCACTGCAAAGTAATAAGGGCTTATTCTACCTGACCTCCCTCAAGAACTCTGACATAGAACTAGATCATAAATATGCACAACATAGCAGGTGTCAAGCCTCATGAATACACATAAATATTCATCAACTTATGGAATTCTTCGCTATCCACTGAGAGTATTTACATTTCAACAAGAACATGAAAGAATTCTACCCACATGCTTGAAACATAATTCATAATTTGACAGGTAATTATCACATGAGAAAATCTTTATGGATATTCAAATGCTAACCCCTGTGGGACAATTTGATCTTCTCATAGTAATAAAGGGTTCTTTGAAATAAAACTAGAAAAAATGTTGAGGAGAAAGATGCTTCAACTTTGAAAGTAGATTTCAGGAAATTGTAAGTTTTCTTAAAAATTTTCTGATATTTCAGTGTTCTTTAACAGCGAGGTTTAAAACTTTTTAAGATGAGGTTAATCCAAGCCAAGAGTCAGCATCCCTAAAAACTGCTCCTGTATCAATTACAATATTAAATACAGTATTGAATACAAGCAAAACAGAGTCATAGCCCTTATCTACCAAATAGTTCATTTTCTAATTGCTTCAGAGTCTGAAAAGTATGCAACTATTGTAGATCAACTCAAAGCTAATTTGTATTCTGAACTTAAAGCTATCTGATGACCCATATTCTTACCTCTTCCTCACTCCCGAGAGCTTCCTCACAGCATTTGTTTGTTTGTGTTAGGCACTCCTTTGGATTATATCTAATCTGTTTCAATAGGTTTTATCAGTTTGCAAATTAAAACAAGGTTTTCAGGCACTGGAATTTAGTATTCTCTTTCCTGGAGAAGTCCCTTGCACAGCTTTGGCCCTAGTCACCGAAGACTCTACAAAATTATACCTGAGCACAACATGGGTTAGGAAACACCCCCAACAGAATGTTTTCATGTGACCAATTTGTTTCAAAAGTTAGGAAAAATTAAAAATAGGTTGTCAGACAATGTTTGATCTCTGTGCCAAAAACCAGCCCTGTTTAATTAATTAATATAGATGACCTACTATTAAAGAAGCAACCCTCCAAATTCCATCTGAGAGTTCCTGCTCTCTCTCTAGTACCAGTAGTGGTGCCCACCTGACCACATGACAAGTTAGGGAGCTAAATATGAGAAGATTAGAGAAATTTTTGAGGGCTTTCTTCTTTCTAGATTTCTCCTTGGATCAGTTGACCTCATGGTCACCCAAAGAATCATAGGCAAAGTTCAGAGAAAGCAATGGAAGTATTTGAAGGCAACTGCCAATGGGGAAATCGGACTGCCAATTCTAACAGCAGCTACTTAGTAGGCTGGTTTAGCTTCATGTCAAATTGCATTCCCAGCTTCTATTTTTCTGCCTTTCATACCTAAAATGAAATGAAACTGCATCTGTAGCTCAGCACCATGACACACCTTCCAAAAATACCCTTTTCTTCAGATTTTAGGATATATGGAAAATGCTTTAATCAATCTGTCTGGAATCTGATGCCTGGGGCACTTAAAAGTTAATTCTTGTCTTGCCTATTCAGACAGCTGGCTGACTGTGTCTTGTGCCTTTGTGTGCATTAATAAATTCACATTGAATATTGCATGAAACATTAGTTAACCTTAATATGCTTCAAAGTTTCTGGTGTGTACAAGTCTTCTGCAGGATTACACATTCATCTGTAACAGACTCTCTTCCTCAGTCCATTGTAAATTTTAGGGTACTTCCTGTCATAGGAGTTTCATTTAATATAGCTAGTGTTATCCATGAGCGCTCAAATCTTCAAAGGACTGGTCTCTGAGCTGATGTGTGCATTGTTAGCTACAGGGTCATAATATACCATTGTCCAGACTTCACAGTGATTTTCAGGACACTCAGACATGTATCTTCACTACTTCACCAATATTAATAAAAAAAAAAAATCTTTCAACTGATTTACCTACTTTTCTCCAAATAGTTTATTTCAGGTTTTCCTTACAGTTCTGTGCACAAAGTAATCAATATCTGCATGAGAAATATCCCAAAGAAATAGAAGGGGTAGTGATGTTTGTAGTACTGAAAAAAGTCTTCCAAATATAGACTACAGCCAGTAGATTAGGGTTTACAGGAAAGTATTTTTACTTAAACTTAGCCTGCAACATAAAGCAAACCTCCAGTAACTAATTTAGTGTTTTTCCGAATAAGACAGAATCACAGAATCACAGAACCACAGAATGGTAGGGATTGGAAGGGATCTCTGTGGGTCATCTAGTCCAACCCTCCTGCCGAAGCAGGGTCACCTACAGCAGGCTGCACGGGACCGCGTCCAGGCGGGTCTTGAATATCTCCAGAGAAGGAGACTCCACAACATCCCTGGGCAGCCTGTTCCGGTGCTCCGTCACCCTCAGAGGGAAGAAGTTCTTCCACATGTTCAGACGGAACTTCCTGTGCCTCAGTTTGTGCCCATTGCCCCTTGTCCTGTCGCTGGGCACTACTGAAAAGACCTTAGCCCCATCCTCCTGACACCCACCCTTCAGATATTTATAAGCATTTATTAGGTCCCCTCGCAGCCTTCTCTTCTTCAGGCTGAACAAGCCCAGCTCCCTCAGCCTCTCCTCGTAAGGGAGATGCTCCAGTCCTCTCATCATTCTTGTAGCCCTCCGCTGGACTCTCTGCAGTAGCTCTTCATCTTTCTTGAAGTGGCGAGCCCAGAACTGGACATAGTACTCCAGATGAGGCCTCACCAGGGCAGTGTAAAGGGGAAGGAGAACCTCCCTCGTCCTGCTGGCCACACTCTTCTTGATGCACCCCAGGATCCCATTGGCTTTCTTGGCAGCCAGGGCGCACTGCTGGCTCATGGTTAACCTGTCGTCCACCAGGACACCCAGGTCCCTCTCCACAGAGCTGCTCTCCAGCAGGTCCACCCCAAGCCTGTACTGATAATAGTTCACATTTACTTTAGGAGATATCCAGCCCTATTTAATCTTTTATTCTTCCAAAGGCTTTGGAAATATGCCCATTCTTCAGAAGACAGATATTCTCAGCGAGGCGAACAGTTTATCTATTTATCCATCCTGCAGCAATGAAATGTGTGAGCAGAAAGCCATGTATCATTGTTGTTGTATGACTGGCATGTTAAAAGGTTTTTGGTGGGGAATATGCCAGAGCACATAACGATTTTAAGTGATATATGTCAGCTGCAGGGTATATTTAAGGGTTCAGTGGCACCAACAGAATCAATTCTAATGCTGCAGGACAGAGAAGGGACACAGATTTTTACCTGTAAGCAACATTATGCAGAAGACATTTTAGATTAGGCTAAGAGAATGACCCATTTAGCAGAAGCCTTTTACATAAGGAGGCTCTTGGAAAGCTTAAACCAAAGAATAACTTAGACACACGAGACATGTTTGATTTGGGATTTGAAACCTACTCCCACCATTGAAAAATTAACTGAGACATTTTCCTTTTCTCTGAAAATTTTATTACGTGCTGACAAACGCTGCTATGCTACACTAAATGTGGCCCCGTGCTAATGGCTGTCAGTACAGTAAGTAGAGCTAATGTTCACCTGGCATCTGTCACAGGCCTCTATCACATCTTGGAAACAGAGTTTTTACTACATGGTTAGGTACTTTCACATACCACCGGGGTTCAGATTCTCTCAAGAATAGATTGACCCAATTTTGACACTAGTTAAAACAATTCCTTTGTCATATTCAGACTGCAATATATAATTATAGATTATTTCTGCTAAACCTTTAAGTGACTTGCTGATTTTAATAAAAAAAAAACATACTCATGATAATGATAAATTCACTGTATAATCACTATTTTCAGACAATTTCCAAATTGTTTAAAATACATATGTATGGGATGTAGATAAAATTTGAATGTAGAACAAAAATTGAAATTAGAAAAAGCTGCTATATATATAAGAATAGTCTAAAGCCTATTTATTTTACACAGCAATTATTAATCTTTTATACTTTTATGTGCATATGTATAAGACATTTTACTCTATGTTAATGGTGAAAAAGTGCAAATAAGTAGAATGTGAACTTATAGAGGATCTTTCTGATATCCTGAGAATAATACCAGAAAAGTCCCAAAAATGTAAATTAGAAAAATCTCTATTTGCTTCTACAGTTCATCTTCAGCTCAAGGCCAAAAAAACATCTTTTATTCAGATCATTAGACTTATATGGTAAATCTGGTACTCTGTGGACCATGCATTTAATAAGAAGCATTTGACCTCCAACGATGAAAGATAACCTTGTCATCTTTAGACAGAGATTAAAAAACTGGAAATACAATAAAGAAAAGAGAACAAGCTACTTAATCTCTTATGCAGTTTCTTGAATACTTAATGTTTAACTTAAACAGTATTTGATGGACAAAGTAAGAATATCTACAATGACATATAGACCGAATTATTTTATTTAAGTACCGGTATCTGAAAATAACAGTGTAGATGTAGATCAAGTGCTGTTTTTACTTAGAAGACACATTTTTCTGAAAATTATAATGGTAAAACTTTCTTATTCTGATTTTACAGACTCCTTACAGAAGTTCTTATATCAATACACAGTTGTTTTTTCTTACTTTGATTTAAGTCATCTTTGTGTTTTCACTTATTCTTAGTAGCATGGAAAAAGAAAATATGAAAGAAACAGTCTTCTGTAATCGATGGCCTTTCTGGACTTGTCAAATGCAAGACGAAAGACAAACTCACAAACTTGGACTGAGGCATCTCTCGACTGAGGTGTCCAGAGACAAAGAGCTAACAAAAGGAAGTAACTAACTGCTGTTTATCTTATCAGACAAAAGTAAGGAGGGATAGCCCATCACTGTAAACCCAGTGATCTGTGGGATGTCGAAGAGGCTGCATAGCCAGAGATTACTTCAGAGATTGCTTTGGATAAAGCACAGATGGCCCTGGGATACACATACCAAGATGCCCGCTCCGAAGGCATGTCACACTGCTAAGTCCCTCTTCTGACAACACGACATTCCATGCCAAGAGCCAATCGATACACAATAATTGACTTAGTCCCACCTCGCAAAAAGATTTCCAAACATATAAAAACTGACACTTGAAAACTCTCTTTGGGAGGAGGAGCCAAGCGAGAACTTCACCTGACGAATGGGTCGACGGGCCTGAACCTCTCTTCCCCCCCCAAGAAGGGATGCCTTTTTGGCAAGAGTCGCGCCTCTGACTTTGTCAGACGTACCCCCGGGAACACATTGTTAAGTAAAGCGCTGAACTATTACTTTGAGCTCAACTTTTGTAGACAGTGCATTTATCAACGGCAATTCCGAATCTGTGATACTTGTCACTTGAATAAATTACCTATTGTTTCAACTTTGCGAAACTGTTTCAGTGAAAGTCCTTGGAAGGGTTCTGGCAGGCAAGTTGTATCTAATCAGTGGCTACACACTTAACCCTTTAGACATAAACCGTTGACCAAGTCTGGGACTAGGAGTTGATCCAGCCACACCTAGACTCTTCTCTGAGAGAGAGTTTAGAAAGCAAGAGGGTCTGCTCTGAACCTCATGACTCAACAGGAGGGCTCTCCTTTTGCCGCTTATTAGACTCCCCTTACCCCCCCTTTAACGCGACATCTTCCTAAAGTCATATTCTGATATTAATTCTAAAAATTCTGTACTTAGCATTTGCCAGTCTGTTAATCTAGTGATTAATTTTACCCAAATTACTATATACACAACACAATTGCAAGAAACATGCAGATTTTTCAAGTAAACAAACATATTTTGGAAAAATTGTGTTCTTTATGGTATTTATACACTGCAACAGAAGTTTGTCCACTATCACAGGTTAGGACATCACTTAAGCCCCAATTTTCATTTATACCCAATTGACATTTTGGAGTGAATTGTTTAATATGCATCATAAAAATCTGTGAGGCATTTTCATTAACAGTTCTATTTACAGAATTTACCAGACAAAATTATACTGCCCTAAAACTTATTGTGTACCTCAAATGTAGTGAATCGCTGAATAAAAGAAGACTTTGAGATAGAGGAGCCATTAGAAAGCACAGAATTGCAAAACAAAAAAAGATTGGAAGGGGCTAATTCAACACCCTGTTATTCAAAACAAGGACCATTTTCAATGTAGATCAAATTTCAAAGTTGAAACAGTTTCTTTAGGGTTAAATTCAGTCCCATTTCGAGTATCTGCAGAAACAGAGATTCCACAATGTCTCCAGGTAACCTATTTTTTTTAATATGTGTTTTCTACTGGGAACTAAAAACTGGATATAATACTCTAAATTTGTTCTCAGAATTGCCAAATAGGGGCTACGTGCTATCTCTACTCTTGTTAATACAGCCTTATATGCAATAGCCTTCCTTGCTGCAAGCACACCTTGATGACTCGTATTCATCTTGTTGTCCACAAGGACACCTGCTGCTTTTCTGCAGACTGTTTCCAGCCATTCAGTCCTCAACTGCATGGGGTTATTCATACATTTGCCTTTGTTGAACTGCATGTAGCTTCTTTCCACACATTTGTGGAGCCTGTCTGAGGACCTCTGCATCTGCTCTGTCCTCCCCTCACATGCTTTGGTATCAACAATAAAATTTTCTAAAGGTGTATGTTAGCACATCATTCAGACCATTAATGAAGATATTAAACAGTACTGGCCCCATTTTTCATCTCTGAGTAGCACCACTGTTAAATGGTATCCAGCTGGATTTTACACATCTAACAACAGTCCATTCAGGCCAGCATTCTTGCCACTTTTCCATATTGTAGTCCACCTTGCCAATTTGGCTACAAGCATGTATGTCATAAACCTTATTAGTCAGAATAAACAACTTCCAATGTTCTCCAGTTGTTCACAGAGTCAGTTATCACAGAAGGCAATCAGGTCCTTCAGGTGCAATTTGACCTTGGTAAATAAGCCTTGAGAGGGCTTTAAACTAGGTTCAAAGGGGGAAGGGGACATCGCCCAGCTTACTAGGGAAGAGCCCAGGCTTGGCCTGCCAGGGTCAGGGGTGAGATTGACAGCCCAGCACCATTATATATTTAATCCGTAAGGATGAAGATCACATCAGTACAAAAAGCAATTGTAGAAAGAGATTCTAATTAGAACCTTTCACTGAAGTCAGAAAGGAAGTAACACTAGATTGGATTTTGGGAACTGAAGAAGACCAGTTGAAAAATTTAGGTTACCTTTTATCAAAGACTGTTGACCATTAGGTTCAATATTATGCAGTTTTAAGCACAAACTGTAGGAACTTCTGAGTTTAAGAAATCACACTTATCTTTATGGAAGAAGACCCTCTGCTTAGATAAAAGACAAAAAAGAAGTTCTCTGAGGATTGTCTCACTTATTTTTGCAATGAAACTTCATGTAGCGTGAGCCAACCTGTGCTTCTTAAGAGTAAGCTCAAGCTCATCCCTCCTGGACATATGCTGGTTTCCTCTTTTGCACCAAATTCAGCTCTCATTTGTCTGATTTGATTAAGCCAAAGAAACAGAGAAATGAAGTCATTTGCTAATGGCCAAGTTAGCAATCTAAAGTGGCTTTACTGTGTGAGGAGATTCGAATTTATGCTTAAACAAAGAAAGGAAAAGTATACATCTAACAAACATCTTTTAGACTAATTTATATTGAACAGATGATTTTATTCCTGCAGAGCTGAGGTTTGTATTTCAATTTTTAAACAGAGAATTAAAATTACTGATCTCATAAAATTTTAACAAAGCCTTAAATATTTTTGAGAACTTCTAGATGAGCTTAGATTAGCTCTATGGCAGTCTGGAAAAGAAATATTACACTAGCAGTAGTTG